ATTATTCCAAAGAAAGAGTCAGGCTGCTTCATATTACTTATGACTAAAGAAGGCAAACCGAGGATATATGTGAAATAGTTTTTTTTTCTTTTTGCAGGATTTCCAGGGTTTTTGAACATTGGCTTTAATAATACCTTTTTGTTTTTGGTTGGTTTCAATGGTTTGTAAATGCAATAATCAGCAGCAATAATAATAATAATAACAATAACAATATTAATAAACATTAGACCTACCTACATTTTTCTTAATAATCAATACCTAAATGTGTTGATTAGAATTCTAATGCAAAAGTCTGATCAATCAACAAATATGTGTGAAGCCCTGCATAAAAGTGAAGCTTAAATACTGGAAAGCATATTAAGTTATCAACCGGGGATAAGCTAAGAACTGTATTGGTGTTGCGTGGTATACCAGTACAGTTGTACCGGTGCACCACTTTAACTTAATGTAACCACTTTGGGTTTATGTCCCTAAAATGTAATATTTTCCTGCTTGTCCTCCCAACTTCTCTGGCCTGTCCATTTTTTTGGTCTAATTATGATCAATGAATACCACTTGTGTTTAATGAAGTTAAACTCCAGATCTTTATAGGATTTGTGGTAGAGAAAGCTTTATTAATGGAGATAATCCCTACGTTTTTACCCTGCTTTAACTAGTTTAGCGACAGTGCTAATGAGAGGGAGTCAAACTTGCAAGCAAATTAAGTGTTTTAACTCTGAGGCAGCCACTGCAAGGTTTACTTTCCCCCAGGTTGAAACAGACTTTAAAAGTTTTTCTCCAACCTTATCTTAGCAATACTATGCTAAATTTCAACTCATTGACCCTTTTAACGTTGATAATTTAATCCTCATCTGGTTGTCGGTGAAAGGTGTCATGTGCTGATTTGCTAAAATAGATGAAAAAAGTTTCAGTTGAGCTTTTTCTACTGTAGCATTAGCAACAGTTTTAAAATCATGGCCTGCTTTCTATCAAGGCGTTCCTATCACCTCTCAGAAAGTCATTGCTAACTGACTGAGAATCTCAATTGTGGTTGTAAAATAATAATGATAATAATAATAATAATTTAACTTTATTTATTTCATATTGGAGAAATTTACCTCTGCATTTAACCCATCCCCTTGGGGAGCAATAGGCTGCCATTGTGCAGCACCCAGGGAGCAGTCCTTAGAGCACAACTGTACTGCTCTAATCCCTAGGCCAACACTACCCATTAAAAAAACAAAATTAAAAATTTACCTAAGAAAGCAAAAAACAAGTTTGTATCAGCTTTAACAAGCTAAGGATGACCTTTAATGCAAAATCCATGTAGGCTAACTAGCTAAGTTTCTTTATTTTAAATTTATGGAGGAAAATGATTAGATAACAGATTGTTGGAATATATTTCTTACAGTGTGTTAGTCAATTTTATCTATAACCAATCAATGCCAAAATCAAACTTGCTTATTGAAAGTTTAGCCTATGGCAGTCATTTATTAAAAACACATCTTGGTTGAGGTTTATAGGAAAATCTTTCATACGTCAACTTCATGGAATAGGTTGCCTAATAAATTTATTTCAAACATTAATATAAATCATAGCAATAGAAAAAAAGAAGGAAACAATGTAAATGTAAATGTAAATATATAGAACAACAGAAATATTATTAACAATAATAAAAAATTAATAATAATATTCTAAATAAATGAAATTTACTGATATCACATTGGAGAAATGTACCTCTGCATTTAACCCATACCCTTGGGGAGCAGTGGGCTGCCATAGTGTGGCTCACGGGGAGCAATCAGGCGTTAAGGGTCTTGCTCAGACACCCAGAGTGGCAGTCTGTGGGAGTGGGTTTCGAACTCACAAATTCAGGATTCCAAGTTCTGTGGCCTAACCACTTGGCGCCACTCCCCCAAAACAATATAATCCAATAATTTAACAAAGTTTAGCTTGAAAAGGAACCAGTAGAAGAAAAATTATTTATATTTTAATATATCCAAAATCTATCCAGTCTTCTCATCTTTATACTTTACAGCTATTTACACATCGGCTAATAAAAATAAAAACGGGCAATTTGGTAACCGAGCACCATTTCAATTCATCAAAAGTCCTGCTCAAAATCAAAAACTGAAAGAATAACTTCACTCCTATGCTGTCAGCCATCTTCTACCTCTCATATTTTTTTAAACTGATTTATCTGATGATATTGTTTTAAAGCCTTCCACTCATCTATTCCGCACACTAATATAATAAAACTTTCTCTTATCTGTTGTGTGAAAGCAGTTTTTCGTAGATGAAAACACTTCCACATACAGTTTCCCAGCCTTGTTTGTCTTGGAATATTTTCTTGAATAGATAATATTTTTTATTCACTGTTTATTACTTTACTATGTAAACTTTACTAATGCTAAAGTTTACAGTTAAACTCAAAGAGCAAGTTTACCTTCTTAACATTAAAGCTGTCGTTACTGATAAGCAGCCCACCATAGCTGCTTAGCTTCTTGCTATTTCAGTACAACAT